TTATATTCCCAGTGGCAATAAGAAAATATCTAAAACTATTTATAGTTACTACATTCATCAATTAGGACTAAAAACAAAACCACTTACTGCTGTAAAAAAGTGGAGCGAGCTATTTTCTTTTCAAACTGAAGAATTTCAAGATATTTTCATTCTGCCATATAAAACTACGGACGATGTATCAATGAGAAATGTTCAATTTCGATTATTACATAGAATTACACAAACTAACAGATACTTGCATTTAAGAAATTTGGTAGAGGATGAAAGATGTTCTTTTTGTGGTTTATTTGTAGAAAGATCATTTGTTTTTTGAATGCCCCATGTGTTTGAGCTTTGGACACAGATAGAAAATTACTTAGAGGTAAACGGCAATATTTACATAAAATTTTCTCAGAAAGATATAATTTTGGGCATACTTTTAAATTCAAACAGAAATCACCTCTGCCTTTTAAATTTTCTGATACTTTTTACGAAATTGTATATTATGCGGTGTAAATGGAAACAGGTGCAGCCAAGTACACGGGCATGGAAAAATACTTTGATTTTAACCTTTAATATTGAGTATTCCAAGTCCATACAGAAAGATTCTCTACATGGATTCAAAAGTACATGGGACCCACTGTTTGATTCAATGGAGTTACTCTAAACTGTTTTGTTTGTTCATTTTAATTTTTACGTTGTTATGTTATTTTGTATTTGTACTGTTTTATATCATATAAAAATAATAATAATAAAAAAAAAGAATGTTAAGCTACTAAATCTAAGTTGTGATGATCTTCCTATGCAGCGTGCACTTGGTGTGTTCTGGAGTGTCAGATTTTGGTTTTGATATTGACATTCAGGAGCGACCCTTCACAAGAAGGAGCCTTTTATCCTGGTAAAATTCTTCTACAAGACTTGTGTTGACGCAATATCGGATGGGACTAAGAGATAGACAGTAAAGATCTACAAAGGTGGAGAAAATGGGCAGCAGACCTCCCTCAATTTAAGACCATCTCTGTACAAAGGTGTCTCAAGCCCTCCAGCTTTGGCAAAATATTTTCATGTCAACTTCACAACTTTTCTGATGCAAGCGAAAGAGGTTATGGTACTGCATCCTACGTTCGTTTTGTAAATGACAAAGGAATGGTCCACTGTGCTCTTTTGGTTGGTAAATCCAGAGTAGCTCCAGTCACACATGTAATTGACAGCTGCTGTCATCTCGGTACGAATGAGCAAGCTGGTAAAGAGAGAGTTGGAGTATATTCTCGACAAAACTTTCTTCTGAACAGACAGTATGTCAGTCATACGGTCTTGTTTGAATGAAACTGCTCGCTTTCACACATTCGTGGCAAATCGTGTAAATGTTATTCGAGAAGGATCTGAGACATCACAATGGAGGTATGTAGATTCTAAATCTAATCCTGCAGATGACTCTTCTAGAGGACTTGATGTAGCTGACTCAGCTCGGCAGAATAGGTGGTTGGATGGTCCATCATTTCTATGGAAACCTGAGACCGAATGGCCTACATGCAGTGCCTTTTCTACTGCACTCCCAGATACTGACCCAGAGATAAAGAAAGAGGTACATACATCAGTTCTAATGAATCCATCCCCTGGAATCTTGGACAGATTCATGTCATACTACTCAAGCTGGATGAATTTGAAGATAGCCATTTGTTGGATTTTGGTAGTAAGGGAGAAGCTTCGGAAATTGTCTACAATGCGTAAGGAAGTGGGAGAAGCAGTAAGGAAAACATTTATGGATCCAATAGAACAAGAGAAAGTTGTTGATGACAAAATGAAAGAGTTCAAAAGGGTGTCAAAGAATTGTAAGCATGCAGAGCTCACAGTACAGGACTTAAGAAAGGCAGAGCATAGTATATCCTTTGTCTAGTATCGCAATTGGTGAAGAATTGGTTAGTGCTTCGTCAAGTGCTAGAAACTTAGGTGTCTTGTTTGATTCGCAACTATCTATGGAAACACACATTTCTACTATTTGTAGATCTGGATATTCCCATCTAAAAAATATTAATCGTATGCGTAAATCATTATCCCAATCTGATACTGAAAAGTTGGTACATGCTTTCATATCTTCTCGCTTAGACAGCTGTAATTCATTATTGCCTGGTCTCCCTGTAACTAAGATAAAACCTCTTATTCGTGTACAAAATGCAGCAGCCCGCCTTGTCACTTGTGCTCGAAAATATGACCACATTACAGACATTTTTATTAAACTTCATTGGTTGCCAGTTGTACAAAGAATCAATTTCAAATTACTTTTACTAGTGTATACATTTTTGTATGGTTTTGCCCCAAATTATCTATGTGAATTAATAGAATTTTATGTACCGAGTCGTAGTTTAAGATCTGAATCGATGTTTCTTATTAAAACTCGTCAGATGAGTAGTAAAAAGTCCAAGGTGTTATACAAAGACAGTGCTTTTGAAAATTTAGGTCCTAAACTTGTTAATGAATTACCTCTGTCTATTCGTTCTATTCCTTCAGTAGACATTTTAAAATCCAGACTGAAAACGCACTTATTCAAATGTGCTTTTAATATTTGACTGATTGTTTATTGTATCAGCGCCTTTGATCTTCATATGTTGGAATTGTTGCGCTTAATTAAATAAAGTTATTATTATATTATTATTTATATTGACTTACACCCAAAGGCAACATTTCTCAGATGACTTCAAGGCTTTGACACCAGATTCCCAAAGGATTACATGTGGGAGCCATTTGTACAAATTAGATCCAGTAGTAAAAGATGGACTCATTCGAGTTGGAGGCTGCCTGGAATGTGCAGTATTATCGGAGAGTATTAGACATCCTATAGTTCTACCCAAGGACTCCCCTGTGTCACATCTCATTATAGATGCTGTACATAAATCTGTTGGACATCTTGGTAGGAATGCCATGCTGAACAGCTTCCGTCAGAAGTATTGGATTTTATGTGCCAACACCTTAGTGAGGAGAGCTGTAGCCAGATGCATTGTGTGCCGAAGATACAGGGCCAAAATAGGTGAACAAAAAATGGCAGATCTGCTATCCAAGCATGTCACACCAGATAACCCTCCATTTACGCATACCGGAGTTAATTACTTTGGACCGTTGGCAGTCAGACGAGGTCGTTGAACTGTTAAAAGGTATGGTGTTGTATTTACCTGCATGGCAACACGTGCAGTCCACTTGTAAGTTCCCTATTCAATGGATACTGATTCTTGTGTTAATGCTCTTAGGCGATTTAAGGCCAGAAGAGGGAATGTCAAGTCTATAAGATCAGATAACGGTACAAACCTTGTAGGTGCCAAAGGAGAATTGCAGGAGGAACTTAATAAATGGAACCACATAAAGATTGGAAGCATACTTCGGCAAGATCATATTGAGTGGAGATTTAATCCTCCCGCTGGATCACATATGGGCGAGATATGGGAGCGACAAATTAGAATGATTCGAAAGATCTTGTGTCACTCTTTAAAGAACAAACAGTATATTTGAATGACGAAGCACTTCAGACCCTGTTTTGTGAGGTGGAGGCTATTATCAATGGATGTCCCATATCATTTGTATCAGACGATCCTAATGATCTTGAAGCATTGACTCCAAATCACCTGCTGTTGCTGCATGCAAATCAGACCCTGCCTCCTGGTGTATTTGAGAAGAAAGACACATACGTGAAACGTAGATGGCGCCAAGTACAATATTTGGCAGATGTGTTCTGGAGGAGATGGCTAAATGAGTACCTACCATCGCTGCAGGAAAGACAAAAATGGGTTCACCCCAGATGAAACCTGGCTTTGAGGGATATTGTCCTGGTCATAAATAATTCAGTCCCAAGAAACATCTGGCCAATGGGAAAGGTAGTGTAGGTGATGAAGGGCCGAAGAATGCTGGTTCGAATGGTTAAAGTTAAGACGAAGACCAATGTGTATTTGCGTCCAGTGGACAAGTTGTGTTTGCTACTGGAATCTAATGATGCTGATGGTGGATTTGATGGTTCTAAAACACAGGTCGGTGATGTTTAAGTTTGCGGTTAGTAGTCCTACGTCAGTGCTTGATAGCCTGTTGCAGGTATGTCTTCTGTGGTGGGTGGCGCTGTGCGTGTTTATATGCGGAGCTGCATTAATGCCATTAAGCTCCTGTGATTGCTTTGGCTACCTCATGGGTGGATTTTGGTTGACTCATACTTTTTTTTTTTTTTTTTTTTGGTGGTACTTCAATTAGATTTGGCCATTAGTTAGTTTTAAATAATTGGTTCGACTAAGTCTGTACAATTAGGGGGCCGGAATGTTATGGCCAAAAAACAAACTTATTTAATTCATTTTATCATTCCTGTTACACTGTACTTGCTCTCTTCAATCCGCTATTGTTATTCACGATATTGTTATTCACGATACTATGTGGTTAGAGCGCCACGTATGGTAGCATTGGAGGTGAGACGGGAAGTAGAACTTGAACAAGCAAACAATGTGGTTATTGCAAGAAATCAGTCGTATGCAGTTATACATAGCGTTGGTTAAGTTTTGTGGCAGAAACTGGCAAGTTTACAGTTTACAAGCAATCAAACGTTTCGTTCATAGCTGGGTAAATCTACAAGTACGGTGAGAGACACTTTATGCAGATTAATCTTGTTTCATTTTTAGTGAGTCGTTTCTGCATGCGGCAGAGTTGTGTCGATGATGTAATAACATGTTGCAACCACGTTGGTTGATCACGCATTCTCTTAGTGATCACAGCCGGACGCCCAGTAATGCCAGTTTACAAATAATAATAGTTCAGTAATTCAATTCATGAATGATTTATTCTGTACTGTAATTTTCTGAATTTGTGTGGTATTTTATGTACATGAAGGTTTTTTACTGAAAAGTATGAATATTTTCTTGTTGCCTGGGGGCGCTATTACTGTTGATATAATTCCCTTTCTGTGTGCTCTTATGGAGCTGTATTTGTAACATTGAGAAGTGCTTGGTGAGACTTTGTGTGACATTCAATTTTTTCTATTGTTTGTATTTTTGCAGTCAATCATTCTATACCATCAGAGTACTATTCAGCCTGTATACATGTCATAACTGGTATGATGAATAGGAATAAAGCATAACTTAAAGGGAAACTGTTTCATAACTGTCTGAAAATGCATTGACGTGGGAGACCCATGGCCTGTCAACAGTGGTGTCTACTGTTTATTGAAAGAATTCAGTCACTATAAGGAGAGTGTATAACACATTCCCCACAAGAGTCGTTTAGAATTTGACTAATTTGCATATATTAAAAATTATCGTGTTTTAGATCCTAACATGACTTATTGCCAATTTTTATGAACTTTTTCTTGATCAATTTCACTAAATAAAAATGTAATTTCTCATTATACATCTACTTTTGGCATTTTCAGTTGAGCAAAATAAAATGAAATAAATCAGTATTAATTTCACCACAATCAGTTTGTTGTACATCCTTGGCTGCATATGGGATACTTCTTGTATACAAAAGTACATTTTTTGTACGCTATTTGCATAGTATTTGCATACTCTTTGTATACAAATCTGTTCCAAATATAGAGTACTTCTTGTATACAAAAGATTTTACGTAAAATGTACAAATTTATTCAAAAGTTGTATACTTTTTGCACACAAAAAGTAAACATTTTGTCTAATGAATTTTGGTAAGGGTATAAGTCTACCCCTCTCTCTGCTCTGTTCGTGTTCTTGTACTACATGTGCTAAGCACAGCACAGCACAGACCCATTTCCTGGGGTGCAGTAAAGATTGTTTCACTTTTGAGGCATACCTACCATTTTTTGTGTGGGATGCACTCAAGGCCAAAAAGTTACCCATCATATTCAGCCCCCCCCCCTTGTTAGTATTTCCTTAATTTATTTTTTCAGGATTAAAAACTGTGTAGAAGCGGGTGGCCATGACTCTTTGGATATTGCAACTTTCTGAAAGCTGGAGTGCTACCCTCCATCAGAAATGACACAAATATACAAGTATACAAAATTGATGTTTGTATTTCTGCTGCAAGTGAGTTTATTTTTCGCTTTAATATGCCTTGATCAATCATGTCTTAATTTCAGGTTCAGTCTGAATGGCAATTTCCTCAAATAATGGCATGGGAATAGTCATGTCTGGTTCACCATTTGTTTGTTCATCGTCTAACAATAACAACAATCCTTCTGCAGCTTGAATTCTGTCTTTCTTGGTTACAGGTGCAGCCCTGGGTGTTGAAGCTTTGCGTTTTCTGCCCAATTGTCTACCTGTAAAGCAAAATTTGCATGTGTTAAATTATTTTCTGTGATTGTGATTTTCTATTTCCAGATGAAGATCAACCTCGATCAACAGCAACGTCACACATATATCAGAGCCTTCTTTTTCTTGTGAAACTTGTGAATCCTCGATCAACAGCTCAAACTATAGTTTGGTCTTCGAAAGGACATACAGCACATGCTATGAAAAAGATATTTTGGACAATCACATATGCAGTGTTGAAGATAATGGCATAAGCAGTGATAGTGATATTCAACATTATTCCCAGTGTTCAACTTTTGACTCTTTAGACTCTTTTGTGCAACATAGCCTATAGGTCTCATGCCACTGATTAACCAATTTAAATGCCTTGCAAGGACCAATGATTTTTTTTAAATATTTTGTTTTCTCAGGTGCTCCCTGTTTGAGGGCGTAATCACCTGGGTCAAAGGTGAGACCAACATGTGGTCTTTTGTTTACTACTTAGTGGCTGTGTACCTGTGGGTTTATTCTGTGTGTATTTGGATGTTCTAATCTTGGTGTTTTTCCAGTGATTTCTCTAGGTACAATCCAAATACAGTAGGTGTGTCTTGTTTACCTGAGATTTGTAAGAGTTTGAGCTGGCCAACATGTTTTTTCATATGGTTGATTACTGGCATGTTGATTTCCAATTTTTGAGCCATGTTTTCAACTTTCTTCATCATTTTCATATAGCAATCTCGTCATATGTTAACATTGTCGTTTATAGAAATTCAATTAGTGGTATGAGCCCTATATAGCTATCCCAGTACCTGCTGAGACGTGTATTGTTTCGTACACGGAAAAGGAATGTATGCATTCGAGCAGCTAGAGGTTTCAACAAACCTGTTCAGGAGATGCAAGGGCAGGAATCGGATCTAGGTGTTCAACACCAGGTCCTGCATTGTTGATGAAATGTTTGCTGCAAATGTAGGTATCTTTTTTCACGCTATCAACTGTGAAATCGGCCCGTCCACATGCCCGAACCCACCGCCGGCATTTCTCCAAATCGTGATGTGGTTTGACGAAATGGATCCAAGTAACATCCTTCATTTGTCGCTACGACATGGTCCATAGCAGCAGTGTTTCGTTCCCGGCATATCGAACTGTATCTTTACTATTTAACGCAATAATAACAAAATCAAGTCGTAAGGACGAAATGCACTACAATATCCAGTGCATAGACGAGATGCGTACAGTAATGTTTGTCCGCACCGAGATATTGTGCTCTATATTCAGTGACGTCATCGAACCGGGGTTACTATTTTTAGATGCTGTGCAATGTAAACCATGAATTATCTAATAAAACAATGTATGCGTACGCATGCTTATTATTTACATATAAAAAAACATGATGACTTCAATGCCATGACCTCTGACCCGACGTGACCCGGAAGTTGATAACCAATACTATAGCGTGGCAAATCTGTGTACAACCACAGTCAGCTGGCGCACAAGTGCGATATTCACTTTAGGGGCGGACCATTTGATATCATGGGGGGGATTGAAATGAAGCCTACCTATTTTCCCTTATCTGATATGGAATTTTTTCCAGCAGACCTTGTCTCTAATTTTTTGGTTTGCACTCAACAGTAGATGACTTGTATAATAGCCCTTGTTAACATCGTGAAAGGGTTTTGCTATCAGTCCACTTCCTGGATGTTTTCAAAACAACGATCTTCCAAACCAGGCTTCTAAACAGTGCACTAAACTACTTGACATTTATTTTCCGACCCACCTGTAAAAATTTCAGACCATTCTGGTAAAAGTGGATAGGAAGCGTTTGCAGATATCAAACGCCTGGCTGGAGAAGCACATCAGGCTCTGGCTGTTGAAAAACTGAGGCAATTCCTCAAACAATCGAGGAAAAGAGTGCAG